TTTTTTTTTTATGGTGCTCCTCTAACTTTTTCACTTCAGTAAAAAAATGAATTGCAGTCTGAATTATCAAATTTCATTTGAATTTGATGGAAAAAATGATTGGTGTAAGAGAATGTGAAACTGGGTACCAATTCAGAAAGAACAAACAAACCGCTACCTTTCTTTTTTTAATAAACTCAAGCAGAGAATTTCTAGGTGTTCTACAGAAAGGCATTATATCCTGCAGGTGCCCCCAGTAGCACATAAATGCCAGTGGGTACAGTGTTAATGGTGTGCGAAGCATTGCATGCTGAAGTTGAATTGCTCAGAGGAATGTATTTTCTTCTTCTTGGTGTGGAATTGACACAAAAGAGGAATGCAAGTGAACTGGAATGAATGCAATCCAGAGTTACCAGTCTCTTCTTTGCTATCCACAGGTACACAGATGAAGAGTCTAGAGTATACCTGCTTGATAGGGGTAATACCAGGGAGAAGGAGGCCCAGAAGGAGAGAGGATCAGAAAAAGGGAGGTTAGAGGGAGAAAGGGAATGGGAGGAACAGGAAACTTTAGATTTTTTCGTTGATAAAGAGACTGGGAAAGAAAAATTTAATGACTCTGAAGGGGAGGACACAGAGGAGACAGAGGATTACAGACAGTTCAGAAAGTCTGTCCTGGCAGATCAGGGTAAAAATTTTCCTACTGCATCTCACCGGAATGCTGAGGAGGAAGGAACCAAATACAAATCTAAAATACCAATCAAGGGCAATAGAGAGAGTGATGGATTTAGAGATGAGAAAAGTTATAAGCTTAAAGAGACTAGCTATGTAGTGGAAAGGCCTAGTGCAACAAAAGATAAGCACAAGGAAGAAGACAAGAGTTCTGAGAGACTAATGATGAAGAAAGAAACTCAGTCACCTGAGCAGGTAAAGTCTGAAAAGCTCAAAGAACTCTTTGATTACAGTCCCCCTCTACACAAGAATCTGGATGCGAGAGAAAAATCCACCTTCAGAGAGGAGAGCCCACTTAGGATCAAAATGATAGCCAGTGACTCCCATCGTCCTGAAGTTAAACTCAAAATGGCACCGGTACCTCTTGATGATTCCAATAGGTAAATTATTCCACTTTACACTGTGGTTCTCCACCAGCCTG